TGGCATTCCACATAAAATAGAAGATTGGCACAGATGTTAGCAAAGTGACAATCTTCCTGATACACACACACAAACTAAAGTCAAGGTGATGGAAATTGTGAAAGAGGTAAAGAGGGAGATAGGGTGAGACAACTTGACATATTTAGTCAGAGTTTCTGAAGGAATGACCAGAAAGAATGGGATATTGCGGGTTTGGTTCCCTAGGAAGCTGCTTCTTAGACCAAGTTTAGCATTTAGGATGATTATTGAAGAGTGCCATTGGAATCAATTTCCAGAAAAGGGAGTGAGGGGAAGCAAGAAGAGATCGAGGGAGAAGATGAGCTGTGATTCAGGGCCGACAAAACTACAGCTGACTCCATAGGAGCTCTTCTGGCCTTCAGAATTGTTCTGATTTGAGCTGAGATTCGTAGGTATATATAATCCTATATTGATCAATCATTTGATGTGGGCCACCCTGGGAAGGGGCATGACCCACAGGCAGTCTCTAAAGGGGCTGTCAGATGAAGACTGTCTGCCCACAGCACTTCCAGCAACTATAAAAACAGATCCTTCACCAAAGGGGAGGGAAGGAGGCCTCGGCAGCACATTACACCACATGGCAGAAAGACACTAGTTGACAAAACAATGAATGAGGACTCTCCAGAATTGAAGAAAAATTAAAATATGCAGATTTAGGAAGCACAAGCAATTTCAAGCAACTTAAATAAAAAGAATTAGACACTTACACACATCATTTTGAAAGCAAAGATTACCAAAAGAAATGAAAAGATCTTAAGAGTAGCCATAGAGAAAAACTGATTACCTGCAGAGAGTTGAGAAGTTGGCAGCCAGTTGACTTCTGAGAAGCCAAATGGAGACCAAAGCATGGTGAAATAATATCTTCAAAACGTTGAGAGAAAATAACTGTAGACTCACTAAGCTATCATTCAAGAAGTGCACCAAAATAAAAAATTTCCAGATAAGCATAGCAGAGTTTACCACCAATTAACTCCTCACTAAAGGAACATCTAAAGCAGGAGCTCTCAACCTTGTTTGTAAGCACATTGGAATCAATAGGGCAGCTTTAAAGCATACTTATGCCTAGGTCACACCTCAGCAATTCTGATTCAATTAGTCTAGGCTGTGGTTGTAACAAGGTATTCTTTCTCCTCCTCACCACCAAGATGGTGTCAAAGAAGGTCAAATCAGGAGCTGGGACTTTCATCCCCATGCAGCATTAATAAGCTCCTCTACTGTGGGTACAATGGAGAGCATATGGGACTCTCCTCCCTCCTTGCTGGAATGGTGTCAAACAGACCTAGTTGAAAGCTTCCACCTCCATCCAGTAGTAATGAGACCGCCTTCCCTCCCATTCCAGGTGATTTTAGCAGAGACCTAGTAGGAAACCTAAACTTCAATCCTTACCTGTCAGTAACAAGGCAGTGTCTCTACTTGTGTAGGGTCAAAGGATACTTGCCAAAATAGAAAATTTAAATATTCAGAGGCACCACCCTTGATATGATACAGATGTTGGAATTATCTGTCAAAGATTTTAAAGCAGCCATTATAAATGCTTCAACAAGCAATTACTCACTCAAAACAAATGAAAAAATAGAAAGTCTCAGCAAAGAAATAGAAGACATAAATAAGAATCAAATGGAAATTTTAGAACTGAAAAATACAACAATCAAAATGAAAAATACACTGGATGGGCTCAACATCAGAATGTAAATGACAGAGGAGAGAATCAGTGAACTTGAAGATAGACTAGAGCTTACCCAATCTGAACAACAGAGAGAAAATAGACTTCTAAAAAAATTTAACAGAGCCTCAGGGACCTATGGGATTACAACAAGAGATCTAACATTCCTGTCATCATAGTCCTAGAAGAAAAAGGAGAAAGATGAAGGGGCTGAAAAAGTACTTGAAGAAATAATGGCTTAAAACTATCCAAATTTAGCAAAAGACATCTATAGATTAAAGAAGCAGAGCAAACCCCAAACAGGATAAAGCCAAAGAAACCCACATCAAGACACATCATAGTCAAACTTTCGAAAACTAAAGACAAAGACAGAATCACAAAAGCAGGTAGAAAGGAATGACACCTAACCTATAAGGGAAAAACAATTCGAATTACAACAGATTTCTCATCAGAAACTTTGGAGGTCATAAAGGAGTGGCACAACATTTTTTTAGGTGCTGAAAGAAAAGAACTGTCAAACCAGAATTCTGTATCCTACAAAAATATCCTTCAGGAATGAAGGAGAAATCAAGACATTTTCAGATGAAGGAAAACTTAGAGAATGTGTCACCAGCAGAACTACCTTAAAAGAATAGCTAAAGAAGTTCTTAAAATGTAAAGGAAATTATAAAAGAAGGAATCTTGGATTATCTGGAAAGAGGAAAGAACAATGGAAAGAAGAAAAATATGGATAAATACAATAGGCTTTATGGCTTCTCTTGAGTTTTCCAGACTATTTTTGAATAACAATTTCTGATATGGTTCTCAAAGTATGTACAGGACATAATTAAGACAATTATATTGTAAAGGAGGGAAGATAAAGGGACTTAAAGGAAGATACATTTTCTACAATTCACTCCAACTGGTAAAATGTTAACACCAGCAAACTGTGATATGTATGTATAATATGCCTAGAATAAGGAACAAGTAACCCATAGGAAGGCAGAAAAAAGAAAACAGAGAAATGAAGAACAGAAGGAACAAAAAGAAGACAAAAAAATTAAGCAGCAGCTTTAAGCCCTAACATATTGATAATTACATTAAATGTAAATGGTCTAAATATAGCAATGAAAAGACAAAGATTGGTGGCCTGAATTAAAACATAACCCAACTATATTCTGTCTATAGGAAACTCACTTCAAATATAACAGTATAGGTAGGTTGAAAGTAAAAAGATGGAAAAAGAAATACTATGCAAACATTAACCAAAAGAAACCAAGAGTGGCTATATTAATATCAGACCAAGTAAATCTCAAAGCAAAAAATTTGTTAAGAACAAAGAATGACATTACATAATGATGAAAGTGTCAATGCACCAAGAAGACATAGCAATCCTAAGTGTGTATGAACCAATCAACAGAGCTGCAAAATATGTGAAGCAAAAACTAATAGAACAGAAGAGAGAAATAGATAAATTCACAATTACAGTTGGAGACTTCAACACTCCCTCTCAAAAATTAATAAAACAGACATACAGTCAACAAGAATGTAGAAGAACTCAACACCACCATCAACCAACAGGATTTATAGAGCACTCCACCCAAGAATAACAGAATATATGTTCTTTTCAACCACGAACAAAACATTTCCCAAAATAGGTCATATTCTGAGGGTTACAAAACCTCAACAAATGCAAAAGAATTGAAATTGTACAGAGTATGTTCTCTAACTACAATGGACTCAAACTAGAAATCAATAATAGAAAAATAACAGGAAAATCTCCAAACACTTGGAAAACTAAACAATACACTTATAAATAATCAATGGATCATAGAGTAAGTTTCAAGGAAATTAAAAACTACGTTGAACTGAATGAAAGTGAAATGTTTTGGTAACCCGTTTCATTATCAGGTACTTACAAAGAGTAACTTTTATTAAAAGTTAAAAAATAATTTAAAAATCAGTTTATTTCTGAATTTGTATATTGCTGTAAGAATATTTTGTTGATTCCAATTGCCACTGCTGCTCTTCAGCAGTTTCTTGGAGTAGTCAATGGACACAGATTAGCAATTTTACTGAAAGAAGGCAAGAAAAAATTTTTATTAAATAAATATGTAATTTTTCAATTATTTATCTTTATTATATTACTCGTCTGTCCAAATGTCACCGACCCATCATGAGAATACTCAGACACGAGGAAGAGTAATAAAATTCCAGCGGCTCTATTTTACCAACTTTCGGTTATATAAAAAACAGCTTTACAGATATTTGTCATTTTTTTATGTGTGCATTTGTGAAAATGAGGCGAACATATTTCATTTAACAAATTGTAACTTGATTTATATCTTTAAAATATTTAGACACACGATATGTCTATTTTCATTTCTTGCCTTGGGCCCAGCAGACGATAGGGGCGGGCCTGCTCCTAACCTCCTTGACCCTCAGACCCTCAGCTTCCTTTTCCAGAAAAGGAGGATAACACTCCTAAGCTCATGGAATTGGGATGAACCAGGCACCTGAACAAATATGGCTAATATAAATTCCCTCACTCTCCTGAGGAGGAATCTGTGTTCAAGGAGTGTTTTGGAGTTTTTGTTTTGTTTTATTTATTTAAAATGTTTTTATTTGGGGGGGGGGGATGCAGGGGAGACGAACATGTTTGAGGCTAGTGGGTAAGGAAGTGGTTGAAGCCACCGAAGAGAGAGACGCCTGATGATGGGGCGGGGTGGGATCGGCTCAGAGGAACTGGCTTTGGTAATGGGAATGGAGAAGAGGAATCCCCATCCGCCCCCGCAGGAAACGCTCCAGTGATTGGAGGTGTGCGCCTCTGTGTGCCTGTGTGTGAGGAGGGGGATAGCTCCGACTCCCGCAGACATCACCACTCATGACGAAGCTACTTCCACTCACGCGGTCCAAGGCGCACACGCGCGATCCACGACCACGCCCGCACACACTCGACACACAGGGCAACCGAGGGTCCGGTTGCCATGGCGAGCAGGAGCGCGTGAGCCCAGCAGCCCCTCCCGCCCCCGGCCGAACCCGGTCAACTCCAGCTCTGATTGGTCGCTGCTTCCTTATTATGCAAATCGTTTGCGTAGACTCGGCGGCCAGCTCCCTGACGTCATCAAGCACGGGGGTTGGGGCTCGGGGCTCGGCTCCGGGAGAGCTCGGGCGGGAGCCCAGAGAGCGCCGCGCGGGCACCTCAAGCTAGACCCCAGCGTCCCGCCGCCTCGGCCCGGGCCTGCCCCGCCCCCGGCCCCGCCCCTTTCCCGCCCGCCCCACCCCCTCTACGCCCCTCCACCCGGACCCCGCCCCCTGAGCAGCACCCCCGCCCTCGCCGCCTGGGCCCCGCCCCCTCCCCCCTGGCCCTCGCCACCGGTCCAGGGAGGGGACGGTGGGACAGGCGGGACCGGTGGGACCGGCGGGAGGGCGGACCGGGCGGGGGTATGGCCGCGGCGCCCGGAGGGTCTGCGCCGCCCGCCGGCCCCGGCCCGCGCCTGGGTTTCAGCACCGCGGACAGCGGCGTCGGCATGAGCGGGCTAAACCCAGGTCCTGCCGTGCCCATGAAGGACCACGACGCCATCAAGCTCTTCGTGGGGCAGATCCCGCGGGGCTTGGACGAGCAGGACCTCAAGCCGCTGTTCGAGGAGTTCGGCCGCATCTACGAGCTGACGGTGCTGAAGGACCGGCTCACCGGCCTCCACAAAGGTGCGCGGGGTCAGCCCAGCCCAGCCCAGCCCAGCCCAGCCTAGCCCCAATCCGATTAGAGGGCGACCCGGCCCAAATCCTAGCCTCAACCGCAGCCCCAACCTTAGCCCTACCTAGAGCTAGTCTAACACCAGTCTAATACCAACCCCACTTCAGCCCAGACTCCTCCCCAGATCGCAGAGCCCTCAACCCAGAATTTTCTGTCTGACATCTTCCTCTGATCATCACTCTGGTCCCCTAATGTGTTCTCCACTCCAACCTCCAACTCCCTACCCTTCACCTTTCACATCTCAACAGTCCCCACCTTTCAGTTGGACCCTCCATCCCTCCCATCAGACATCCCAAATCCTGGAATTTTTGGAAACTTATCCACCATCTAGATCTCTAATACCCTCAATCTCCCAAACCCTGGAGCCAGTCATTTCCAAATCCCCACATCTGATGCCACCCTACTCAGGCCTAACCACTCACACACATATCTTTGTCTTGCACCCCTCTTCTGGCCTCCAAGCCCAGCCAACCCCCAGGGCCTTCTTTTGACTCTTACACTGCCAACCTAAAACCCCACAAACCCAAACTCTGCCCTTCTTCAGAACCTAGGCCTGGCTGACTCACAAAATCCAGTTCCCCTCCCAGGAAGCTCTCAGCTCCAAATTCCACTGTCATGTTTAACAGTAACCCCAGTCTCTCCTACCGCCCCCCCCCCCCCAGCCCCCAGAATCCCAACACTCTGCATCTTCTGATTTGAGTCCAGAACCCTGACCTCAGCTGGGAACTCCTACCACCTTGTGCCCATCATCTCAGGTTTCCTTTCAGCTGGACTCACACTTTCATTCTCTAATCTTCCCACTCCTGTGCCTCATCTTTGCCTCTCCCCAATCCTCTTTATCTCCTCCTGCTTTCCCTCCCTCACAGGCTGGTCCTGGGACCAGAGCCTCAGGGTGGGTCAGGTTGAAGAGGCAGAAAGGGGTCTTCTCTCTGTCCTTGCTACAGAGATAGAGGCACCACAGTCCTGTCCAGCCACACCCCTTTCTTCCTGTAGAGAGAGGGAGGAGGCTTGTTTACATGCAGAAAATTCTGTCCAGGCTGGGCTGGAGTGAGAGAGCCAGAGTCACATGTCACACATGGGTATGGAAAGGAAATGAGTTGAGGACAAACACTTTTATCTCTCCCCAGCTTCACCATGCTGCAGTCTCAGGATTTGGGGTAGGGGGAGCCCACCAACTATCCTCCATGATCTTTCTAGGAGAGAAGTGGTGGGCCCTGAGTAACAGCTAACGGTACTTTCCCAAGGGCTAAGAGCTAGAATCAGGCTGCCACTTCTTTTAAAGTGAGAGGCCTTGGAGTGTTCCCAGGTACACTAATATAGGGACTTCAGGAGAATACGCATAGAAGGTCCAGGACCAGCTAGTTAGCATTGAATTTTCCACCCTTTGGGGTGGGGTTATTTTAAAGGGGGCACGAAGGGACAAGACTATACCGTTCAGATTCTTTCTAATGCAGTCCAGCTGCCCAGCTGTTCATCCACCCCATATCAACTTATTCTCCTATTTTCTAGACATTTATTTCAGTATGTATGCACAAGCTAATCTTTCTGGGACATCCGTACAATAAGGGAAGTGTATAGACTCCTTTAATTCTCACTCTTCCCACTTGAACACTATCAGAAGCTCTGAAATGTTCTCTCATCCTTTCTTTCTCTCCCTCCATTTAGCTCCAATTATTTCTGTTTTTTCATTCATCTTTCTCTCAAGCCATGCTTCTCTGCCTTCCACCCTCCATTCTTCCACCCCCTAGCCCAGGAAGTCCACATAGGGCTCCTTTAGGCAGCAACGGCGCCCTTGAGCCTTTCAGACAAGTCCCCAGCCCTGCCCAGTTCTGACATCAGATGATAAGGCTTGGTGGCAGAAGATAAAGCAGAGATGTAAGTGGAATCAGGTGTTTGGTGATTTATCCCCAAAACAACCCACAACTCTCTAAGGCAGGGTTGCCTTGCAAGATGATTGGGGAGGGTCTCCAAGTCAACATCTTCCCCACCTTCTCCCCAGCAACAGTGATGTCCAAAAGCCAGACTGATTCATTTTCCTTTTGATGGCTGGGTACCAAGGGAGGCAGCCACAGTACTTTGAAAACAAGCTCAACTTAGGAGTTAGGAGATTCAAAACCCTATCCTGCCACTGACACACTCTCTGGGCTTCAGTTTCCCTATTGGTATGAAAAGAGTTTGTCCCAGGAGTTCTCTAAGTTCTCTTTAACTCAATGAGTGACAGATATCCACCCACTTTAACAGGGCAGCCACATAGGAGATATGAGAGAAAATCTTCCCATTTGCCTTTCTAGTCTGCTGAGGTCTAAGTGGAAAACTGCACCAAGCTCCTAATAACTTCCCACATCCACTTTCTCGTCTTTTGGTCTTTCTCCTTCCTACACTCAGAAGGCTCTTTTTGAAAACACAGATCTTATGTCACAACCATGCTTAGAACCCTTTAGAGGCTCTCCACTGCTCTTAGGAAAAAGTTCAAAATCCAGACTGAGGCATACAAGGTTATAGATGACCTGATCCCTGCACATCTCACTGGCCACTCTGTGCCAATTCACCAATCTCCAACCATACTAGCTTTCCAATCATTTCCCCAACATGCCAAATTCTTGACTCGGTCTTCATATGTGCTATTCCCTCTGCCTGAAATAATAACCGCCCTTCTTGTCACCTGATTAACCCCGATTTGTTATTGAGGACTTCTTTGAGACATTCCTCAACTCTTGGGACTCAATTCTGTGCCTCTCATAATCTTTTACATAATCCCCATGAGGGCAGGGATGTGTCTGTCTCCTTGCCACTTTGTCCCCATGCTCACAATGATAAGTAAGTATTCAATAAATATTTTCTGAATGAGTTATTGCTCAATGACTGTTGGAAAGGAAGAGATCCCTGCCCCAGTGCTTCCTAGCAGGCTACAGGTTCTGAGGCTAAACAAAGAGGGATAGGACTGACCCTTTGGCTCAACCCAGACTCCTTCTTGGCCCTGTATCTACTTGCTCTTTTAGAGAAGTCAGATTTGGAGCACAATAACCCTTTAAAAGGCCCTATCTTGAAGCCCTGGGAGAGCTGACAGATCAAGCTCCTTGGATAGGATTGGCGGTCCCTGGAAACTCCCACTTACAGGAAGCCCATAAACCAGTCCCACCTTCCAAGCCTCAGATTAGTCCATTCCTCAGCTTCAAATTTGGAGGAAGGAGGTGTTAGGAAGGAGTTGTGGGGTCCTGGGCTTGGCTCCCATCCCTCTTCCTCATTTTCTGCCTCCTCCCATCTGAAACTGAGTTGAGAAGGAATTTAGGCTGATTCTGAGAGACAGTGAGTATGCATCCAAAAATGAAGGGAGGTTAAAGCCGAAGGCAAAGCCGCTTAGGGAGGTTTAACCCCAACAGGACTTATGGCTGGAGTGGGGCAGGGATCTGCGGGATTGTATGAGCATGTGACTGGGTATGAGTACACATGTTCCCTAGGCAAGAGGCCAGGAGCAAATGAGAGGGAGCCAGAGCCTGGGAAACAGGCATATGAAACCCCTCTCTTCAGAGAAGGTGGGAGGCAGAGAAGGCATCTCAGAAGCAGTGTCCTTGTTTAAAGGAGAGTGGCCTTGAGTTTGTCAACTTAATGGGGTCTCCCAAGAAAAAGTATTTGGGGGTTTCAGGAAACCCCCTGAGCCAGCCTCTTCCTCCCCAGGCTGTGCCTTCCTCACCTACTGCGCCCGGGACTCTGCTCTCAAGGCTCAGAGTGCACTGCACGAGCAGAAGACCCTGCCAGGGGTAAGTCCAACAGGGCTGGGGGGTGGGAAGCACCTCAGGCTGGGGACATGCCCTATGTGCATGCCAAAGCAGCATGTAGGGGCTGGGTTGGGACCAGAAACTAGAAGCAGAGTCATCTTTCTAGGAGTGGGCTTACCTATTCCCTGAACTGTTACAGGTTCTTTGAATAGTCTTCTGGTTCAAAAAAATGGAGTCAAGACCCTTGGGGCCAAGTGTTCCACCCTATCTTTTAGGACACGTATCAGTGTTGTGGGCTATGCTGGGATTTGTCCACCTCAGCTAAAATCATGGCTTCAGGTGTTTGTCACTGGTGTGAGCATGTATGTAGATATATGGTGTAGAGGCTCTGCTGGGCTGGTATCCCATTTTCACCAGCCCTAAGGTCCTTGATGGCACTTCCCTCTGGTCCTCTTCCTGTAATGGTTTTTGGGGGGACCTTGGCTCACCAAGATTGCCTTCCTTCCATACCCCAAATACTTAGCTGAAGTTAAGAGAGACCTGATTCTATGAGCAGCTAGGCCATTGTGTATCAATAACACCTGATATGGCCTTGGCTAATGGCAACTCACTGGACAAAAGGCAAAGTGGGATTTACTGATTATATGGCAGGAGGAAAGTAGTGATTGTTAGGAACTAGCATGGGTTCACCAAGAGCAAGTCATACTATAAAGCCTCATTTTCTCTTGTCGGAGGAGAGATGTGTCCAGAACAAGAGCACTATTCAAATGCCTGCGCAGGCCAAACCTGGGATTATATCCAGTTCTAGGTTTCAGATTTAAGAGGGTCATTAGCCTACCAGAAAGAGACCGAGATGGGATGGGGACATAAAATATATCATGGGATGACAGTTTGAAGAAATTGGAAGATATTTAGCTTGAGAAGATAGGGTTTGGTGGGGGCTTTAATAGAGAGGCATCATAATATAATAACTAAGAATACTAGTTTTCAAGTCTCATAGACTGGATTTGAGTCCCAGCTCTGCCATTTAGAAGTTCTGTGTCTCCAGATACATTTCTTAGACCCTTGAGTTTCAATTTCCTCATCTATTAGGAGTGGGTTATACTAACACTTAGCTCACTGGACTATTGTGAGGATAAACTGAGGCTTAGCAAGTGCTTGGCACGGAGTAAGATCGCAATAAATATTACTGTTGGCGGGGGGTGGGAGGGAGGTAACTACCTTCAGAGTCTGAAGAGGGATTTGGTTTTTTATGGACGGCCCCAGAGGGCAGAGTCAGGAGCAGTGGGTATAAAGAACAGACACACTAATTTCAGATCAGTATAAAGGAATCATTTCTCTGAATTGGAGCTGTACAGCAATGGGGTGTCAGATCCTAGAACCAATCCCAGTAATTGAAGCAACTCAAGCCTTACTCTTGAAGACTCAGTGTCAAGTAACACCAGCTTATCACCCTTACCAACCTTCTGTATGCAAGCTGTGGAGTCAGACAGACCTGGGTTTGGATCTAGACCCTACTACTCACTCACTCTGTGACCTTGGGCAAATCTTTACCTCTCTAAGCCTAAACCTCCTCATTTGTAAAATGGAACTCACAGGGTTGTTGTAATAATTAAATGAACTAAGTCGTGTAAAGTGCTGAGCACAGTTCTTGGCAGAGAGTAAGCACTCAATACTTAGCTGGTGAGTTAGCTGGTGGTAGTAGTAGTAGTAGTAATAGTAACAGCAGCATTAGTAGGAGGAGGAGTAGAAGTCATTATTCATCCAACTATGGGAGTAAATGACTTCTGCTGCTAGAATTGAGAATCAATGAGATTAACTGTAACATTCCATGTGGGAAACAGCATGGTAAAGGTGCAGAGACAGAAGGAACAGGATGGGTGTGAAATGGGGATGGGAGTGTGGCGGAAGGCCCATGTGGGCATGGGCAGGCTGGAAAGAAGATCCACAGAGGACAGTGGTTGAAGAGGAAACTTTGGATTCCAGGCTGGGGGCTTTGGACTTTATCCTAAAAGCAAATGCAAGGCACTGAAAAAATTAGGATGAACTTTGGGAGAACAAAATCCTTCCTCAACCAGCCACAGGGCTCCACAAGATAACGGGGACATGGGGGACTCTATGAGGCTGAGGGCACATAAGATAAGAGCTGTGAAGCCCTAGAATACTGGGATAATTTCTGGGGGAAAAAAGAAAAATAATAATAACGAACATTTGTTGATCCCAGACAGTGTTCCTAGCACTTTACATGTTCGAAGTCATTTAATCCCCTATGGAGAAGGTGTTGTTATTGGCATTCCCATTTTACAGATGAGGAAACTGAGTCATAGAAAAGAAGTGACTTGCCCAAGTTCATGTAGCTGCTAAAGGAAAGATCTGGGTTTTGAGCCTAAGTAGTCTGGCTCCAGAACTCATTCACTTACCCACTGCACTGTTACCTGAGCCAAAGTGGTGGCAGACAGAGATGTAAGGTTCTGGAGGGGATGGTGACTGGGTACATCTGCTGCCTCCAACTCTTTCATCTGCAGGCTTCCAACGTGGCCTGGCTTCCTCTGGTACTGCCAGGATTGGCTCTATCACCCTCCCCAGATTAACAAAGTGAAAATTAATATTTAATTATTCTCCTAAACGAAAATCGATGGCTCTGTTGGCCATCCCCAGCAATGTCCGTGCCATCAGTCTTTCCTCTGAGCCTGCCACGGCCAGCAGCAGGTTTAGTCAGCTGGCCTTACGCCCACCAGCATGGAGGGAGGAGGATGCCCAGCTCTCTGTGGGCACTGGGTCCTGGGCACAGCTGCAATCTGCCAGACAAGCAGGGACAAGACTTCAATCTGGGCTCCTATTGGAAACACTCAGAACTGTCACTGTGGGACCAGGAAAGGTTGGGTCAACCTCAAAGAGAAAGCCTGGATCCAAAGGGGAAATTTCATGATATCTGCTGGACTGGACTCCCTCTTAGGTCCCCTCCACCTGCCTCCTGCTAATTTCTGACACCTAGCAAAGCTTGGCTCCCTTCTCAGGACTTCCTTAAAACCTCAGTGGTCCATCTCATCTGTAGCTTCTTCCCTATGAAGCTGGAGCTACTTATTTCAGCCTCACTTTAGATTCCAAAATCCACCTGAAGAAGGTGAGGTTCAACCTCAGCCCCACCTTCTGGGATTCAGAAGGTGCCCTCCTACTTGTCTCTCTCCCTTCCTTCTCATGACCCCCTTTCCCTTGGGAATCCATTCTTTCAAACACTGTGAAGGAGACAGACATAATTGAGTACATTTGCTTTTGCAGCTTGTGCCCTGCACAAAACAGCTTGAGTAAAAAGGGAAAATGTTGGGGAGGGCAGCTGGTGGTGTAGTGGCTGAGTCTGGCACGCTCTGCTTTGGCGGCCCGGGATTCACAGGTTTGGATCCTGGGTGCTGACCTACACACTGCTCATCAAACCATGCTGTGGCAGCGTCCCACATACAAAATAGAGGAATATTGGCACAGATGTTAGCTCAGTGACAATCTTCCTCAAGCAAAAAGAGGAATATTAGCAACAGATGTTAGCTCAGGGCCAATCTTCATCACCAAAAGAAAAAAGGGGGGCATATGTGGGCTAAAATCCAGCCATGCTTGATTGACCAAGCTGTGAACATTATCACAGAGCTGTGTCAGCCCAGGGAAGGGACACATTTTTTCCCTAATTCATCTGCAAGGTTGGAGGAGTGTGTTTTTGTAACTCACATGAAGGCACTATATGTGCTAGCAGCTGCCCAGTGAAGGAGTTGGAGCCTTTGCCCTCAAGGAGCTTCCAGCCCAGAAAAAAACTCCTTGCATCTCATGGGGTTGACCTCTGGGCATGGAAAAGAGGCATCACAAGTGAGGAGGGAGGAGATGCTTTGCAGAGGAGATGCTATCTGAGCTGAATCATGATCATATTTCACCATGTTTGAGGGTCTAGAAATCTAGAAGACAAAAGCCACTTCTGGAATTGTGGGGACAGTGTGAGAAATGGCAGGGAAAGTGTCCAGCAAAAACAGCTAAGTTTCCACGTGAATGGAGAGTATTATGCCTGTGGGCAGCAGGGTAGACAGGACTTACAAGTTTTGGCTGATCTTGGGCTTTATTGGGAGGCTTGCAATGGACAGCTGTGGGTAGCTTTTCAGCAGGAAAGAGTGAGGGACTGGTTTTAAAAGATCGCTCTGGCAACAGTGTGAAGGTTGGGTTGGAGAGGAAGTAACATTGAGGGCAGATGACTATTTAGGACACTGTTGCTTGAGCACAGGTGATGATGCTGCTGCCTTGAAGCTGGGATAGGGCAGGGATGGGGAGGAGAGGATGGGCTTGAGAGCTATTTAGGATATCCATACACATTCTAGAATCAATGGGATTTGGTAGTGGATTGAATTAGAGGAGGAGGGTAAGGTAGAACAAAGTGCTGAAAATGGTGAAGTTTGCTTTTTCTCTGATCCACCCTTGCTTTCGTCCATGACACCTCTCTTAGACCCAGCAGTGGTCCTTTTCTGGGGGAGGTTCTGATAAACACTCTTCCCATGGTCGGGGCAAGGGGCTGAGGGCATGAGTGCTGAGTGAAGGAACTAATTGGAATCAGGACAGAAGAGTCTGAAGAGCATAATGCTGAGCCCAAGGCAGGAATTTTAGGCAAGTCAAGGAGGGAGAAGGGTTATGGTCTTGCCTTCACTTCTGCTCATGGGGGCAGAAGGACCAGGGCCTCATGTGTGTCTGTGCTGCCTCCAACCTTCCCCACTCCGTTGCCTGGAGTATGTCATTCTCACCTCTTTCTGACACTCTCTCCCTTGATTTTCCCTCAAGGGCTGGGCCCTGAAGCAGACATGGGCCTTGACTACACCAGGGAAAATCTCAAGGGAATAGGTGCTCAGCCAAGGGCAAGAGCTCACCTGAAGTCCCATGACAAGTTCTTGGCAAGGAGGTGATGCCTTATTTTCCTCAAAGGGGAACTATAGTTAGCTCACCCCACTCCCACGTCCCTCCCCTGGCTGTGGCAGAAACAAGGCAGGGGAGTGTTGCCCAGGCAGTTCTTGTGGGCAGCTCTCTTTTTCCTCCAGCCACACAGAGCATGCCTAAATCCTGGATGTCCTCCCTAACCGCTTCCCAGTAGGGACTGAAGGCCAAGAGCCGTGAGAAGCACTATTCTCCCCAATTCTGTCTTCATCCTCTTGGGCTCCTCCCCCTGGGACTTCCCTGCACCTCCAAACTCCCAAACTGCCAACTTCCCCAACCTCTAAGCCGTAACCCTGAGAGTCAGCCTGCATTCCCTCCTCTCCCTCAGACCCCACATCCAACAGAATTTTAGTCTAGTAAATTCTTCTTAAACATCTCTTGAATCTGTCCATTTCCTTCTGCCCTGGTCCAGGTCCACCTCACCCCTTACCTGTATCACTGATCTTCCTGCCTCTAATCTTTCCCTTTCCAGTCGTTTCTCTGCGTGGTGACAGCTCATGGGATCCTTCATAAGACAAAAAGGACTGGATTATTCCCCTAATTAATATCCTTCCCTGGATCCTTGTTGCCCTGGAAATACAACAAAGTCAAAATTCTTTGTTGTGGTTTTCACAATCTGCCTTGATCTGGTCCCTGCCCATCTTTCAGTTTCACTTCCTTCCATTAAAAAAATTATTACATCTGGTACACCTTCTAAGATCTAGCCTTTGTCATTTTCACTACAACTCTGCAAGTTAGGATCATGATTCACCCTTTTGCTAATGTGGATACTGAGGCTCAGCGATCTTAGAGAAGTTGCCATTGCTGGAACCAGAATTTAAATCCATGACTCTCTGACTCAGAAGCAATTTGCTCTGCCCTGGCTACCTCTGTTCCAGGTGTCCAGTGGAAGAATCCTTGCTCCTTCAGACTTGCATCTCCCTCTCCATACCCCAGTCATTTGGAGTATTCAGCCTCCAGCCCTACCTCTCCCATGATCTCCACGTGGCCCGATGACCCTAGTTCCACAAGGCCCAGGTCAAACTCTGCCTCCTCCATGAAACTTTTCCTGAGTCAGCCTCTCTCCAAGCATTTCACCCTGCATTTCTCCTAAGTCCCTGGTCCCTCTGTGCCTCATTATTTGTGTTCATGTCTTAAGAACAGAGTTGAGCAGCACAATGCACAAATCATGGACTTCAGCTTCAGACAGACCTGGGGGCATATTCCAGCTCAATCACTTACTCACCATGTGATCTTGGACAAGTGGTTTACTTCCTTCAGCCTCAGCTTTCTCATCCATACTATGGGGACAATTACCTTGCAGAGATGTTGGAAGGAATTTAGAGACAATGTATGTAAAGTGCCCCAGGAAGGGCCTGGTGAATAGTGGGCTCTCAGGAAATGGTGGCATTATCTTCCCTCTGTGAGCCTTTGAGGACAGGGTCCCCAGGGTCATCGCTGTCCCCCCTGAAGGGCCCAGCCCAGGGTCTTCACAGAGTTCATGAAATGCTAGCAACATGCCCAAGTGGTAGAAAGCCTAGGAGCCTAGCTTCCGAGACCTAGACTCTGCCTGGTCCATGCGGGATGTATACCTACCACCTAATGCCCACTGTCCATCGAAGAGTGTGTGGGAGGGGGCAAAGGGGCATCCCTCAGAGCACTGATGAGCTCTATCTCCCCAGGAACCCAGCCAGGGAGGCAGCTGCCATGGAAACCACTGCTGTCACATGTGCTCGTGAGTCTAGGCTCCAGAGAAAAATTCTGAGGATCTATTTAAAAACTAATAAAATAATGATGGTCTTGCTCACCCTCACTGCCCCCCACCCCAGACTTCTACCCCTCTCTCCTTCTTCCCTGCCACACTCCTCCCTACCTTTCTTGAATCCCCTTCCTAATCCCATATCCCCTCGTTTCCTTCCCATCTCCACCAGTATTTCTCTTTCCTTGCTCCTTTCTAGGTCTCTCTCTTACTCTCTCTCATCATTTCTGTCTTCCTGTGTTTCTTCATCTCTCCCTGTGTCTCTGCTCTCCATGGCTCTATCTCTTGGTCTCTCCTCCACAATCACAGGTGGCCATGCCCAGGGATGGGTCCTGCCTCATGGTCCCTGGTCCAGGCCAGTCCAGACCTGTCCAGCTTGCCCTAATCTGCTTGGATTGATCTGTCATCCCCTCTAGACTGCAGCCTGAGTCCTGTTGGTGTCTTGGCCCCCACCCACAGCCTGGTACACTGCAGGTGCTCCACCACCAGCGAGTGGGTGTGTCAGAGCATAGAAGAATCTGAGTCCTGGGCGGGAGGGGGATTGCGCTGGTTCAGGCTTGGCCTGTTTTCCTTTCCTTTTTTTTTTTATTTTAAATAAACCTTCTCCACTCCCCCACCCCCAAATTTGATCCAAAGGAAATTGCTCAACTGTGACTGCCAGGGCGTTACCATGGTTACCGGGTAGCACTTGTGGCTATGGTAACAGGAAGCTGCCTGTTGTCTCGGCAACGAGCATATTGGTAGGGGATGGAGTGGCCCCTGATTGGTGCAGAAGCAGTGTATTTCCTGAGGGGAGGGGGTCAGATCATCACCTTCTCAGGCCAGATGAGCATCAGTACCCCTTCCTCCACGAAGAGGAAGGCTGCTGTTCTTTCCTCCCGGCGCTCAGCTGTCTGCCCCCCAACAATAATTCCTCACATCCTACGCACCCAGCTTTTGGCAGTTTACAAAGACCTTTTGCATCCCCATTATCTCATGTGATCCCCACAACACCCATGAGAGGAAGGTGAGATGGGGATTCAATCATGAATCCTCTCAGGTTGGTGGGGGATGGGGATGTGTGGGGTGTATATCAAAATCACCTAGGAGCTTTTACAAATTATACAATCCCCCAACTTGAGAGTCTGATATGGTTCCCGGGTGATTCTTATCTATGTCTGATCAGGGAACCCCTGAATTAGAAGGTGAAATTTGTTGGTGGTGGTGGGGGGGATTAAGGGGGAAGTCAAGCTACTTTCCAGGTTTATAGCTTGGATGACTGGAAGGATAAAGTTTGAGCAAAAAGATGAGCTCTGGTTGGGGTGTATCGAGTGGAAGGTGCCAGTGGGACTTTCTAGTTGAGATGTCCAGCAAGCAGCTGGGCACATGGGTCTGCAGCTCAGGAGGGAGGTGTCAGCTGGTGACACAGAGTTCTGAGTCATCGCTGTGGGGACAGAAGCTGAGGCTGTGGGTGTGGATAAGACTATCCAGGAAGGATGGGAAGAGTGAGATGAACAGAGCCGAGGATGGTGCCCTGGAGAACTCCAGCATCCTCAGGAGAAGGGGGACCCAGGGAGAGGACTGAGGGGGTGAGTGTAGAAACTATGATATCATGGAAGCTTGGGGAAGGTTTTCTCCATTTGATGAGTTGAATCTGAGAGAGGGTGGCTTACTTGAAGTCATACAACCATTAAATGGCAGAGTTGGAGGCAGACAGCACTAAATCTGATTCCCAGATTGTTTAATCTAAATGACACATAGAATCATATTCTCAGTTTTAGACACAAAACACAAATCTTCAGTATCAATTCCACCCTACCACCCAATTCCTCTCACCCAAAGCCTTTAAGGAAGTCCAGGAGCCAGAGGGACAGACCTCACATGGTCCCTGCCCAGAGCCCAAAGCAGGAGAATCTCTTTAGCCACCATACTTCATTCTCTGCTTGCCACTGAGCTTCCTATCACCCAACCCTTCAGGTTTCAGCACCCTCTAAATACCTGGGTTTAAGGAAAGAAGCTTGCAGAAAATCTATAGTCCCAGTGTGAGAGTGATGGAGTACAGAGTTCAAAGGGGCCAGGGCTTAGATCCTGAGAAGTCCAGAGGTGGAGAAGCCAGGGCCCTAGGGCCAGGCAGACATGCTGACTAGGTGTGTTGGTCCAATGTCTTTCAGATGAATCGTCCGATCCAAGTGAAGCCGGCTGCCAGTGAGGGCCGAGGAGGTAACTTCCCTGTTTTGACAAACCTCAGGGTACTATCCACGTAGGGCATGGTAGACTCAGTCCTGGAGTCAGTCGTAGCTGTGGTTTATTACTAGAGTCTCCCTGGGTCAGGGGGACAAGTGCTTGGCACCAGAAACGCTGGGCCTTCCCAGCTCAGACTGAGGAGGGACGGGGTCCTGGGTTCCCTAGTTTCAGAAGAGGCAGACAGGGCCTAAGAAGATGCTGGAGATAGAGGAAGGGAGCTCTTGCCACCTTGTCCCTGGAGAGAGGTCATTCTTGTTTTTCCAGGTGGAACTTCCAGGTTTCTTTGAAGAGCCAGGCTGGAGTTTTATTCTCCTTTTCCAGATTCTTCTGCTTACAGATAACCCAGTCCACTCTGGATTGGGGCCACTCATTCCTTCATTGCAATTGCCTGGTTACTCATGGTAAAAGATGAGGCTGGTAAGACAGACTTTGTAGGCCATATTAAGGAATTTGACTCTATGCTGAGGACCATGGAAAATCTTCAAAGTTTTTAGCTGCACTGTTTCCTATTGCAGAAAGATCAATGCTCCTTAAGAACAGGAGGGCTAAAGAGCTTGTGCTTTTTAACAACCATATGCATTCTGGCTAGCTTCCATGCTGGAAAAGCAATGTTAGCTTTTGATGTCAGTTCTTGGTGTCTTTCTCACCCTTGGTTCTTATATAATTCCAGGATATCTGCCTATAGCCCTCCCTGGTGTCTGCTGACTCTCTCCCTTGGATAAGACTCTCTCCCTGCCTTACCCAAGATCAGCCGTGGCTTTGTTAGGCAAAAGAGGCTGCCCAAGATCAAGGAGAGAATGGAAGCCAATTGACAGACATTTATTAACTCCTACTAATTCTGCACACCCTCTCAGACTTTATACTCAGTGTTCATACCTACAAGGGGCTCTGGTAGCTTCATGATCCACTGTGGAGTTCTTTCCTACAAGAAATCCTTCCTTCATCCTTTCAAATTCTCCAACCTCTGGTCTCTAATTCTTGATTTCTGGTCAAGATGTGATCATCCCTACTTTGTCTTGAAGAGATATTTCTAAGCTTCCTCCCTCCCCTCCACACGCACATCCTCCTTTCCCATCTCATTCTTTCCAGGCAGGTTTTTGAGAAGTTCCAGGCTGCATACCAAACCTCTGGTTCACTTCTCCCAAGAATTTCTGCTTCTTGGAAAACTCTGTTAGGCATCAAGGCCATTGTTGGCCATCTTGTAAGCCCTGCCCACAAACACTAAATAGTCCCACAGCTGAGAGGCCAGCTGAGAATACTTGAGTGAGCTAAGAAGCAAACAGGTTGGGCTGTAGTTTATTCGACCATCCAACCAACATCTTCTGATTAAATTACTCCACATTAGGAATACAGATGTGAGCAAGGCAGACCTGGAACCTGGCCTCATCCAGCTCTGGAGCCATGAGGGAATATAGACAAGTAAACAAGGTTATAATTCAGTGTAATCAGTGCTTTCCAAGTCCTGGGGGGGGGGAGTGTGGGGACAAAATAAGGGGCACCTAAGAGAGATTAAGGTGGGCTCCCAGAGGTAGTGATATTTAAGCTGAGATCTCAAGGATAAACAAGCAGTTGTCAAATAAAGGAGGAGTGAAGGAGCAAGTGTTTCAAGCAGTGGGAACAGCATGTACAGAGCTCAGAAGAACATGACGCAACTTGGAGTCTGGTTCAGGGACTAAGTCCACATTGCTGAGGGCACTACTTCTGCTGCTTGGAGTCCAACACATCTTGTCAGGCTGAGGGCAGCTGCGCAAAAGAGGCCTCCATGCCGATAATGCTTCTGCTTGGCCTGGTCCCTGTGTCCTGCCTCTCTGGGCCCTAAGCAGTAGCATCAGCCTGAGTTTTTGCATTTCACTTCCCCATTTTGTACAAGTTTTTCAGGTGTCATGTCATTGACAAATTCTGTACATGTGGCATCCCACCTTTACACCTGTTCAGATTCAGGGAAGGCTCAAGAGGGCAGGAAAAGCAATTCTAGCTGAAAAGAGGTCTACGTGGCAGTAGAAATCATAATTTTAGTAGTTAGGTGTTACATAGATTTTCTTGATAAGTGATGGCTCTTAGTAAGCATAGTCTCCAAATGTATCCGTGGATAATCCTTGTCACAGGTTTGGTTGACCAGATCTCTCAATTCTTCCCTGCTCCCACTCAGAGTCACCAAATGTTCCCTGCCACATATTCCGGAGAGCGGAGGCCTATGTACTGAATCCTGCAGAACAGTTGGGTCTACAATTTATAAGTATTTTACTACCAACTGATCTCTGTTAGATAATGTTGTTACTAATCAAAATGTGTCCCTTTCCTTCAATGTTGTCATATATCTCTTCTAAAGTGAGTTCAGCTCTCTCCTGAATTTTAACACAAGCTAATGCTCTAGAAACTTAACTTTTAAAAATGGTATTGGATTTTGCTTTTGAAATGTAGCATTTAACACCAAGGTGGGATAGCTTATCCCACTCAAGTCTTATCTGTGTGACCCCAAACATTCTATGAACTTTCAGAGTTAATGGTCACACCTGTCCTGATATATTTAAGCCTATGAGCCTGCATATTTTTTTTTATTATTCTTGAAATTAAATCCCTTAGTTTACAATTGATTAATAATGATTTCTACATCTGATAAGGGTACTGGTATCATACATATCAGACATAATCTGAGGGGTATCCAGGCAAATATAACTGTCCAAAATTCTGCCATTTTCTTCTAAAAGGAATTGTTAGATTTTTATTCCCATAAAACAGGGATCACCACTTCAATGCTACAGGAGCCAGGTCAGCAACCCTAAATGGGTGAGACTGTCATGATTTAAAGGAACATTTACATTTTAATTGTATTAAATGTTGGCAACTAATTCCATTTTTTTAAGTGGACCAACACTCTGAGAGCCTAACCACACCTATCAGGTGTGCTTCTTTTGCCCAAAGACCATCTGCCATAAAGGAGTATTCTGTTGTGCACACAGGAACTTTTTGACAAAAGCAGTTACTTTACATTCTGTCCTTTGAATTTTGATGCCAATGAAACAGAGTAGTAGTATTCTTATTTTTAATCAACAGACATGAGGTTTTTGGTTGGAATAACCAATATGTTAAACATACTATATGTTGTATTACCTTTAGGAGTTACTGATAACATTTGCACATTTAATGCCTACAATGCAATAATAGTAGCAGCACAACAGGATCTGCCTGATAGAAGCTGCTGGGCTCCTCTTCTTCCACAGCCATCCCCTGCAGCCTTGGTGGCACTTTTCACAGAGTGCCAGACAGGCATGCAAGTCTTCAGGTCTTCATTGACTATATTATAGCAGCCTTTTGATATATCCCAGCCAGTTCCCATAAATTCTGCAGCTAAGTTCCACACTATTCATATACTCCATGCTCCATGCCTATATTTTATATCCTGTGGCATTGAGCAGTATACTCTTAAAGGAAAATGAATCTAATTTTCCAAAATGAAATTATCTCCTAATATACTAACGGCACCCATTTCTACATTAAACATACCTAGTGCCAAAAACCTTTCCCTCAGCATTTGGATTTATTTGAACGTAAACATTAAAATCTTTGCCTGGATAAAAATTTAAGGTTCATGTATTTCAAAATGTTAACTTCAAATTATATGAAGCCAGAGCTAGAGATCTCCAAATCCCTCAGACAATGGTAATTAAATCAGTCTATTTTATTTGCTGCTCAGCATGGAGACTGTGGTTGATTTTTCTTAACTTACATTGTCTCTATTATGGAATCATTAAATATAAGTTAAACTGTAAGTACCAACTTTATAGGAAAAGTGTTTTTTACTCCTAAGGCAAAATCTTCAAAATCGTTGAACTCCTGTATATTCTTTCCTCTCTTTCAAATTTCATAACATGAAATCAATACATTCATAAATGACAATGGTGATTACTCTGCTTGTTCCATTCCCCAACTTGGCTGTATTTTTTTACTTAGCAAATATTTATGTACCCAAGATGGCTAAGGTACAGAAATAGGTTAACTATCAATCCATACACTCTTTTCACTTTAGTTTTTTTTAACTTTAAAATTTCAAACATTCTCTGAGTGAAGCATCTCTTTTTTAATCTTGAGATTTGGTTTAACTCAAAAGCCAATTATCTGTTATCACACCAACCCTTCTGTCACCATCTTATAATTATTTAAGTGATTTCCACCTGAATTTGCAAGGGTTTGGTTAAACATCAGCCTGAATTTTGAGTAATAAACAGATATTACTATCTAACTAGGTGAGCCATCTTCTCCAATTTTTTTATTTGATTCTATTTTATTCAGTGTTTAACAACTAATCTTTGACTTAAAGCTAAATTTTGAGCTATAATTTTTAGAATTGGATAGTACTGAGATGTATTCTCTGACCTAAATCAGATATAGATTTTAGCAACAACTGTTCTACCAGTCAATTGACACTCATGTCTGTCTTTGATCCTTATACTTATTTAATTCTAAAAAGTATTTTTCCAACTAAGACCTGACTAGATAAGTTTCACAGTACTGCTTAAGACTTTACTCAAGTTAATGTTTTACTTCCTTAAATGCATTCTACCTCCGAAGGTGAAGAGAGAGGCTTTCCTTCAGCTTGACTCAGAACGGATCACCCAAATCTGATTGTTGTAACACTTTTAGGCCATGGCTATGGCTGAACTTCTGACAAGCCCTTCAGATACAGGTGTACAGACTGCACAGAAGGAAGATGCATCTCTGAAGGCTGAGTTCTTCTCAAGGGGACCTGGAAGCCCAGGCGTGGCCTTCCTTTCTTACTCGCCTCCTGGATCTCCTGGATCAGGATGAAAGGACGGTAGAGTCTCTGTTATTTCCTTGGTCTAAATCCCTACTTTTTAGCCCTCCTTAAAGCCCTTCTTTACTTTCTTTTTTTAATTGTGGTAAAATAGACATAATATAAACTTTACCATCTTTACCATTTTTAAGTGCACAGTTCAGTAGTAAGTATATTCAAATTG